TTAAAGCGGGAGGGTCGCCACCTGCGCACACACGGGAACTCAGTCCCAAGCAACAATAACACACGCTAAAAATGCAAAGGCTCATGGGTAGACGCTTGTTTGTAAACAATGACACGCTATGGCCATCTGACGCATGCGCAGGTGACGACTCCTCCGCTTTAAAAACCATCTATACAATCATCTTCTGAAAGCTTCCATGTATAGCCAAAGAATGAAAAAAAACAAGAATTAGCAGATGATGTGTTACCATGATTGTGAGTTTTGTTTCATACATCTAACCAGCAGTATGGTCAGTTAATTGGCTGACAATACAGTTGTGTTGCAAGTAATGTTGCTTCAGGCATGTAGTATAGATTGTTATCACATTTGAAGGCGATATTGCTTGCAACACAGTTGTGTTGCCAGCCAATGGGCTGAAGATATTGATGGTTTGGTGGGCGAAACAAGTTAAGAGCCATTTAAGTGTTCGTCTTCTTCTGTTCGGTTGTTTGTTGTTGCTTTCTCTAGTTGGTTTGTATATCTTCATTGCATGCCCTAGTTCCCAACACAACAACAGCTTTGCTCATGATAGTGCCTGCAACAAATATTCACCTTTGACCCCCAGACATAATATAGTATAATTTGGTTTAATTTTTGCACTTTGCTTGCCTGTAATATACACTTACCTTCATGTAGCATTTTAGCAGCTGACTCGGTTTATTTACCATTTTATTGGCTGTTATATTTGCATGATGTGGTTTTCGTATCAATCAAGAGGTAAAAAAAAAGGATGGTTCCCACAATTTTTTTCAAATATATTTTTTATATATAATTTTTCCATTGCTAAAAACACTTTTTTTACTGATTCAGCATATTTTTCATCACTGATGTTTACAATCCCCATTTGCACACACCCTGTATTTCCCCCCAGATATCATATTCTGTCAGCTCCACCTGTTACACTGCACTCTTTTAATTAGGATACACCACGTTATGCACAGCTCTGGGCCATGTGTTTGCAGTATTATATTTCTTCTCTCTGTTTTGATATTACCATGACAACGATGCAATCGCTACAAACACTGCTGGTGTTTTCATTAAATTTTGCATTTGATTGTTTGTTTTTTCAGTGTTACTCTTGTCAGAGTATCCTTATTTCAACTTGAATTTTAATTTCAAGTGTTTTTGTATGATTTCTTGATTTTTTAGACAACAAAAATTCACATTTTTTCTGAATTTACAGTTTTCTTTTTACTCATTGACAACTTTAGCCTCTTAGTTAATTTTTCACGTCATAATTTTAGGGCAAGATTTTGCAAATGTTTATGTATTTTTCTCAAATTTGATTAAATTTACATAATTTCATATTGTAGAGGTCACATTTTTGAAATAATATGAATATTTTATTTTTTGAAATGTGACAAGTCACAAAGTTATCAGGTCTCTCATTGTCAGTTGGTATTTTTTTGAAAATATCTTAACGTAATTGATGAGTCAGTACTGTGTTACAAATCCTCAATGCTCCATTTACACAACCTCTTTGGGCGATAAAGTCAATTTTCACAATATTTCACAAATTACAAACTTTTTTTCATATTTTTCAAAGTTTTTGTTGTTGATTCAAACCAATAGAAATCATGTCCATTTGGTTCAAAACTATCCAGCAAATTCAAGAAAATTCACAAAATTAGTCAAAATGTTGCACAAAAATCTTGGTGGGAGAAAATGTGGCACTGAAAGTGTGTTTGCTGTTATATGTATGTTCATCAATTTGTTAAAATTAATTACTCCTTTGTAAATGGTATTATGGAAAGATTTAAAAATTGTAACACATTGTGTACATGACTAACAGGTCATT